GGTCACTACTTTCTCCACTACTGTTCGCTATATTTATCAACGATTTGTCTACTATTGGTATCGACGGAGAACTGGTCTTCTATGCGGACGACACAAACATTGTATTCAAAGCCAACACTTATCAAGAATTGGAGGATAAGGTCAACAACTCATTAAAGTTGATAAGTAATTGGATGTCTGCAAATCATTTGCAATTAAATGGTGTCAAATCTAAATACATGATCATTAGTCTTAATGGACGCCAAACACCGGACCTATCGCTCAAAGTATCTGAAAATAATATTGAAAAAGTTAGTGAATTGAAAATTCTTGAAGTTATTTTTGACAATAGACTAGCTTTTCATTCACACATTGAAATGATATGCAACAAAATCAATAATAGGATTAATGTTATCGCAAGATTGCGATACTTTTTAAATACTGATATTTTAAATACTATATATAAATCACTTGTTTTGCCGATCAGTGACAATTGTATGTCTGTCTATGGATATACCTATGCATCACATCTGCGAAGGATTGAAAGTCTGCAACGAAGAGCAGCTCATGTGATAATGTCGTCCTCTTCTGATGTCCAAACACTATATCAAGTTTTAAAGTGGAAACCCTTTACCACAAGAAGAGACTATTTTTGCTGTATTTTTATATTCAAATGTCTTAATGGACTGTCGGCTAATCAGTGCCACCAACTGTTCCGACACAAGGCCTCTGACATCAGGACCCGATCGGTAGCCAACAAAGAGCTGGAACTCCCGAATACAAGAAAAAAAACTCCAATGTTTTATGAATTCAATTTTTTATACAGGAGTCAAAGTTTATAACAATTTAGGTATTTCTCTCAAAAATATAAACAATTTTAATACTTTTATTGTAAATCTTAAAAAATATTTTTAATTTTCAAATATAATTATTGTAATATTTAATATAAAGACCCCCTAACTGAAAATCAGTTATGCTGAGTTAGCCGGGTCTCTAAATATCAATAAATTCAATTCAATTCAATACAAGACATGTTTGAAATGAACGCATACTTCGAAAATATTTAATAAATTTAATAATAATTAATTACTTTAATAATAAAACTAATTATTTTCGACATTTTTACTTTGAATAAAACTCTTTCCTATCTTTGATTCGGACGTCAATTGTCTTGAGTTTAGGACTTCTCGACAACAGGTCTTTGAAATCATTATCCGAGAGATCATTAGATTTTTCGCCAAAGCCATCCGTGTCTTCGGAGTCGTCGCCATAGTCTGTGCCGTCAATAACAAGCGTTTGCAGCGCCGGTAGTCTTGAGATGTGATCCAAACACTCGCTGTCTATCACGTAATTAATGCCATAAATGAATAGATACTGAAGTCGTGGACAGTATTGGTGACAATCGTTTATCACATTTGGTCTCATTTTTTGCATAATAAGCTTTAAATGCGTTAATCTCTTGCAGTGTCTCAACCTATACAACACCCGGTCATCGATGGCCGCAAAGAGTGTTAAATGCAATCGTTTTAATCGGCAATAATGTCTCAACGAATCCAATGATTTGGTCAGTACGGGTTCGGCGACAGTGTTTGTGCCGAATCTGAGTGACAATCGTTTCAATTGTTTGCAATTCACGCCAATTGTGCGCAAAGAGTCGCTAATCACCGCCGAGTTTTGGTCGTCCACTAAACCGATACTCAATTCACGTAATTGTGTTAATCGTGACAATTGTCCGCACATTTGGCGCCAATTGTCGGCGACATTCAAACGACAAGAATTAATGGTCAGACTCTGGAGGGACTGATTGTGGGCTATGAACGCCGGCCAGCGGTGGTTATCGTCGTCCGTATGAATTAATAATTGAAATTCAGTCAAATTTTTGGCCAACAGTTGGCCATCAATGAAGTCGAAGACGATTTTAAATGAATGAATAAATAAATGAGACAATCGGTTGCAATGGATGAGCGCTCGGCTGTCGTCGGAGCGATAGTATATGAGTCGTGTGACGAGTGGCCACAACGATGGCATCCATTGGCCGTCCCATACCTCGCAGTATATTTGCCTCAAATGCGGGCAATTGTCTCGAAATGTGTCCAACACTTTGGGAACGAGTTTGTCGTACGCCATATGTATTCTTCGACAATCAATGGTCTCAATGTGTCTACACTTTATGGCCAACACTTGGATGTCATTTGTGTCGCAATTCTGTGATCGCCAAACAAATCTCTCTCTAAGAGTGAAGTCCACAACACTCTCGAAGACTGTCCTCTGGAACTGTTTGGACACACATTCGTATCGGAAACGGTCTTCGAGTGAGAGATACGACACTACGAGTGCACACAAGTCATCGCCGTATCTGTCCATTGAGTCATTCGCGTAAATCCTTGGCTAAAATATGAGACAAAAACACATTTAAAACTCAATAAACATTAAATTTTTTGTAAAATACCTGTCGTTTGTTGCCGTCATCTGTGGTCTGGATTGATGTCATCGTTGGTGTCAACTCTTGAGACATATCTTTGGATCAATTGAAGTGATATTTGAGAAGAGAGTGAATTAGAAAAACAAAGATTTTATTTAAAAAATAATTATTAAAACAAAACTAAACACGTTATGAGTGGTGGCAGTGGTTAACAAACAATTGGTTTGAATGGCAAACACATAATGAGCAGTGAATTGATTGTTCACTCCTTATATATGCGTTAAATTACCTCAAAGTTTAGTTACAATACTTGGCTTTAATTATGACATCGAGTATTGAAACCGTTTGAAAACTCAGCTTTTAATCACAATATTATAAATGTGTGGAAAGTAACTAATAATTAATGTACAAAAATATATTACAAAAAAGTATTAAACAATTTTGAGATTATATTCAATGTTGATAAAAAGTGTATAAAATTTAAATAGACTTAACTTCAACCCAGATTTAAATTATGTAACAAATATTTAAAATGTATAATTGTAATAGTAATCAACATTTATGTTGTTTTAATCTCACACATTATAATATTAAACATTAATTTGTTAGCTTAATTAATTTTAGAAATGTTATTATGGGTTGGGCAAATGTTGCATTTGTATTTCAAAAATTATTTGATTAAGTTGAAACGCTTATTCAACGGTAGCTCGTATTTCACCCAACTGTGATCGGACCCAACTGTAAGCGACAGTTGCTTTAACATAGAGCTAATGTTCCGGCCATTATGTTTGAGCAAGCACAGTTCGCTCACACAATTATCAAGTTGATCTGTTGTAATGGACGATCCTTGGGCTCCGCCACTCGGGCCGTGCATTTCCTTTATAATCAACTCTTTCTCATCTATATATTGTTGTAACACCTGTTCGAGTCGTGCGACTGCTGTCCCGGTGTCGGCGCCGGTAATGTTGTGCCGTTCGTTGGCAATCAAGTGCTGGACGTAGTCATCGAACGCGTCGTTTACCGGAGTCAACGCATTGGTGGCCATGTAGAGTAATATTTTATTTATTTAAATAATAATTTGAATTTGTTAATTAATATAATTAAATAAAATATACGTAGGTTTTGTTGGTAGTGGAATTTTTGCATTCATTTTGTGTAATTTGTTAATTATAAATTATTTATTATTACTTATGCTAATTGATTACGTCGCCATCATGTTATTCACATTCATTGTACATCACCATCAAGTAAAATTAAATTACATATAACAAATAAATAAAGAAACAAACAAACAAATTAAAAATTTACAAGATTTTATGTGACTAATATTAAAATTAATTAAACAGATTCTAAAAATAACACAATTAAAATACTATTTAAAAATTTAATATTTTATTACGGTTATTATTAATTAGTTAAATTAAATATGCGAATTTTATTAAAACTTTATGAATATAATTGATTGTTATTTAATTAATATTTAATATAACAGTGAATTAATATAAACATTACTTAATTTAAAAATTTTTAAATATTTTATCAGTTGTTATAAATTATAAATATTGATAATATTGCATTAAGTTCAGAATATAAATTATAAACTATGTGCAAACAAAGTAATATAACTATAAACACTAGTTTAAATTAAATGCAACAAAACTAATCATCATGATTTTAGTTAAATATAATTTTATTCAATCAATAAATATTTAGCTCGCATTGCATTATATATTTAATAACTATTTTTATATTCAGTTTATTTTAACTATTTTATAATAATTATTAATATTAGTAAAAATAGAAATTTATTATCTCTATAAAATATTATGGATATATCTAACTAAAGTCTAACTAAAATCTTTAAATATGATTTAGAATTTATAAATTGTAATATTCTTTAAAATGCTAATTACCATTTATGTTATAAATGTTGTGTTATTTAATTGATTTTTAATTAAATCAATTTGTAGTATAATTTAAAATGGCAAACCATAAACATTAAGTATAAAGAACCATTATAATAAAGTTACTTTTAATGTTTATATTTGGAGTTATAAATTTATTTTATTGATAGTTATATATTCAATAATATTTAAAGATTATAAAATAATTAAAACAATAATATGTTAACATGTTTTACATTTAAAAACATTTAAAAGCAATAAAATCTAAAAATTAAAATAATTAATTACTATTTATTTATATGTAAATATTAATATTTAATTATTATATTAGTATTTATATTAACTCATAGAAAGACTCATTTAGAAATTCATTTATTTCAATGAAATAAAATACAAATCTATCACTAAAACAATGAAAGCCTTTATAATCCTATCACTAATTTGTATTACAACTACCAGTTCCTATAGCTATGGTTATTGATATTTATATCCCACTAATCTAATAATATAACTAATCCTATATTATAATATATTACCTGAATATACTAATTTTATTTTTAACAAAATTAATTTCGTTTTCCATTAGTTTTGCAAATATTTCAAAACAAATCCTTACACCGAGATAGTGAAAAAAAAAACAGTACGTGTAGTGTGATTGCGAGGTACACGTAAACCTCTTTATATGTAACAAACGTTTATATCATACGGGCTAACGTGTACTCGTCCATATTAGAAAACAATGTGAACATAAAACTGTTATTCACACGTGGCTTATAACGCACCTTGTTGGCATCGGCGTTATGTGCAACCTTGGTTTGTTTCAGTTGATCCAACATGGCCCGAATTTCGGGACCTTTATGTTTAAGCGAACACAGTTTGTTCACGAGGTTATCTATTTCCTGGATAGTAATGGCCGACCCTTTGGCTCCCGCGGCCGCCGAGCCGTCCATTTCCCTTATGATTATCTGCTTCTCGTCGTTGTATTGCCTCAACACCTGTTCGAGTCGTGTGATTGTGGCCCAGGAGTCGGCGCCAAATGTGTTCTGCCGTTCGTTGGCTATGAGGTGTCGCACGTATTCCTCGAACGCGTCGTTTATAGGCGTCAACGCATTGTTGGTTAGAAAACAGGCAAACATTGACATCGACTGAACGATTGTGTCGTTTTCGGCCTTCATTTCGGCGATCCGTTGGTCCAGACCTCTGATGAGCAGCTCTTTGGCCTCAGCGGCCGATCGCGTCGACTCAATCGCGGTGTCCACCTCCGGGTCACGCACCATGGTCAGTTTGGATTGCGTCTCGTTCACCAGGTGCATGTGCTGATTATAACTGTGGCCACACTCGTGGCACTCTTTCTGTTTGGTAAAATAGCTTATAACATTTACAAATGGTTTAAATAACATAGTAAAAAATCCATCTGATTCGCAATCGCTGGAGCTAAACTCATTGAACGCTTTGCATCTGAGTAAACCACTATTGTCCACAATATTACCATCGCTAAAACTGAGGTAGCATGGTGAATGGCATTTGGTTTTATAATTAGTGTGGGTCACGCCGTGGTTTGTCACCCGTTCAATGCACTGCTCGGCGCAGCACACAGTCTGCGGCCGATCCAGTGGTACGGATATGATCTCAACCGATGGGATGTCTAGTTTTGTACGCAACTCATCAATAGTTCCCTTACAGTCATTCACTTCACGCTTATGTCTCTCGCATTGGTTTACGTTATCCGCGATATTCTTCGAGATGTCGGCCAACGGTTTGATTAGTAATTGTATGATTTGTTTGGTGTTATTCACCGATAGTGTGTCCATCACTTTGTGTGGTGTGAGTTGTATTATGCGATCAAATAGTCGTTGACATTCCTCCACAGATCTATTATTAAATCAGAATTAATTAATTATTTACAAAATGATAACAAAAATAAAATTATAATCAGCAACTTTTGCAGGTTGCACTCATGTTGCATTCGCGCCTTTTTATGTGCGAGGGTATACTGTATAATTATTATCAACCAATTACCAATTAGCAAAAATAATGAAACTTCAGCTATTAACCAAAGTTAAACTATGAATTACCATAATTAAACATTTCAATACGTCCTATTGACTAAAAATATGTAACTTGGATGTCCCTGATTATAGTTAATTAATAAACTATAATAGCACTGAATTGATAAAATATTTAAATTATATATGTATATTTTATAAGCGTTTATAGAATTTATAGTGTGTTATATTATTTAATATTTTTTAAAAATATTGAATATGGATAATTTTATATACTTACTGATCCCAACTGTCAACATAACTGGACTTATATTTCGGGTCAAACTGTATATTATTTGGCGGAACCGAAGCCACGAGATATCGAAAAGACTCGGAATCGAAAGAATAGACTGTATTCTCGTTATAAGGGATGTCAACATTTGGCGGATTTTCCCGGATTTGGTCCAATATTTTGATCAAAGCGGGTCCGGATTCCCCGGGCATGTAATGAGTGCTCCGGGAGTTTGTAAACAGAAATAGTATATTATTTGCGGCGCTTTTATTTAAATGAGTGAACAATTGAAATATGCAATGCTTGAACACAGCGCCAACTCTCGGTTCGTTTGGCTTTAAGAGGACACAAAAGGCGTTGATTTCCCGGTAATTGCTAATAAAATCCAAAATGTTTTGCATATTTTTATTATCCCTCTCCACACCATCCGTGTCCGCAATTCCCGGCGTATCAATTATATTGAGCACAATCTTCTCAGTTTCAAACGTATAACATTTGGGATACTTTGTGGCCGATTGTGTCGGGTCTCCAGTATTTTCGTTGTCATTTTGATTACCCAGTGTTACCTTCACTGGTAGTCTTGTTTTCGGATCGGTTATCGTAAAGCTGACGGGTATTAAACATATGGGCCGTCCGTTCGCCGCATCCATACTCTCAAAGGACATATAGTTTACAAATGCGTTAATGAATGTGGACTTTCCCACACCTGTTTCGCTCAACAATAGTATTGTTATCTCTCTTTTCTTAATTGCACATTGTAAAATAAAAAATTATACGAAATTAATATAAAGTATATTATACTTTACTTTTATATTTACATGTTATTTATCATATATGTTAAATTTTGTTAAATACTTATATAAATTACCTTTATTAGTGGCATTGTGACCACTTCATCCTGACCATCAAACTGTTTAGCCTCTATACTATTACTGGCATATTTGCTTTCGTTTATATATTTTCTATCCATATTGGTTGAGCAGCAATTACCTAATGCAAATTTTTAAAAATTTTATTAATTATTAAATACAGTAAAATATTTGTAACATTTGACCATTAATTTATATAAAACATAATAAAGACTTAATATGAAATACAAAGTTTTAGTAAATAACTATCTAAATGTATATTATATTGTAACAATATTGACATATTTTACTTTTAATTTTAACATAAATAATTTAATAAATGTTAGAAATTATTAATTAAAAATAAAAATAAAAATTCAATTCTTACTATTGACAGTTGATTAATTAAAAATATTAATTGAAATTAAAATTGAAATATTAATTATTTCTAAAAAATTTGTTCAATGATAATAAATTAATAAATGATATAAAAATTAATTGAAAAATATCAACAACAAAAAATATGTTCACTATTTTTAGAGTAAATGTCCACTATTAAAACTTTTAGAGTTGGTGCATACTACATAAAATATGAAATTACTAAATGTTTTTACATAATTTTAATAACTGTTTAAAATTTTTCTTTATATACTGTTCAAAAGTAGACAATTTTATATTAAATAAAAATTTATTAAAACTTTTATGAATATAATTGATTAATTGATAATATAAATAATGTTTAATATAAACATGGAACTAATATAAACATTACTTAAATTATAAAAAATTTATTATTAATCATTTGTTTACAATTATAAATATTAATTATATTGTTGTGAACCAACTCTTTATAGTCGCACCGTTGAGATGCGGGGCTACTAACGAGAGGTCCTTCGGGTGAGGACTTGTGAATAGTGGACACAAAGGGTAGTCAAACAAAGAAAGGATTGTATGAATGGGAGAAAATGGCGAATGAAATGAGACAATGATTCGTATGACTGCTCTCTTTAATGAGTAAAACGGAACTGAAATACAATGTGCTTTGTATGAATGAAAAGGAGTACAGATTTTAACAGTACATGAGAAGTACTGCTGTGATTGGTTAGTGTTGTTGCTGAGGGGGTACAGGTAATAGGGGCAGGAGTTCTAAATTGATTCAAAATAAGACGTAATACAATAATAACGTGTACATTAAATTGATGGTCATATCAATATTACATTAATTTTAGAATATAAATTACAAACAAAGTAATATAAACAGTAGTTGTAATTAAATGCAACAAAACTAATCATCATGATTTATGGTATTGCTCGGCAACGAAGGTCCTTTTAGGACATTGAAGTAGAAAAGCCAATTGTCATAAACTATATTAAAATTATGTTTTAAAGTTTGGATTAAAAATTATTGACCATTTGAATGAATGAACATTTGAACAATTGTAACATAAATTTATTTTGGATCGACTTTTGATTGTGAGCAATTTTTTTCATTAATGAAATCAATTAAAAATGACAAAACTAATAGTTATTCCGAAAAGACATTAAGATCACGTTTGAAAATATGGTAATCTAATATTGAGTCAAATATTAATAAAATTGTTGATAATCGCAAACCATATCAAAAATCTCATTAAAATGTGATTTAATAATTAAATCTCTTTATTTTAAATGACATTTGTGGATAGACTGAAAGCCAACCATTATTAAAAATGGGTGAGAAACTATTAGGTT